CTTTTTTCAAAATTGGCCGATTTCTTAAATGGTCGTAACTTGAAAAATATTTGTCGGAATCAGCTCAAACTTTCTATACAGCATAAGGACATCAATATGTATCAGAAAATATAATAAAAATTTCGGATGATTTCAGAGCCATTTTTTGAAAAAAACCATGGGTTATACCTAAACCCTTGGGTATTTTTCAAAAATGGGCCGATTTCTTAAAATGGCTGTAACTTGAAAAATTGAAGTCGGAATCAACTCAAACTTTCTACACAGCATAAGGGCATCAATATGTATCAGAAAATTTAATAAAAATTTGGGATGATTTTGGAGCCATTTTTTGAAAAAACCATGGGCTATAGCCTTGGGTATTTTTCAAAAATTGGCCGATTTCTTAAAATGGCTGTAACTTGAAAAATATTTGTTGGAATCAGCTCAAACTTTCTACACAGCATAAGGACATTAATATGTATCAGAAAATTTAATAAAAATTTGGGATGATTTCGGAGCCATTTTTTGAAAAAAAACCTTGGATATTTTTCAAAAATTGGCCGATTTCTTAAAATGGCCGTAACTCAATAGTGTTTGCTCAAAAGGTTGACCCCAACCTCTTCCTATCAGATGTTCATAGTTAAATGTCTTTAATATCATAAGGACAGGTCCTGTATTAAGCACATGTGTATATCTCATCCACAGGGTTATTCACTGACAGCCCACTGTATCATACTCTCATTAAGTACAGTCTTTGACCACTATGGTACACCAGTAATGTTCTACCTCTTCTGGATCATATTTGGACTATTAACAACATGTAAACAAGTAAACAACAACAAAGATAAACAACAACAACACAGCAACACTTGTTATTAACAGGTTGGTATATTACTGTCTCGTTCCTGGTCCCTAAGAGACGGGCTGATACTGTCACTAGTGATAGGATCATGTCACATGTGCTCAATCCTCTACTTAAGATTCATGTATCACAGAGTTTATGAAGGTACCTCTTTATTATTAATAATTATTATATATTATTTGTTTATTTATTTTAGCTCTTGCAGAAGCCATATGAGTATCAATATCAAGAACAATAACATTAAAGAATTTTATATTAACAACAACAACAACAATAATAACAATAATAATAACAATAATAACATTAATAATAATAATAATAATAATAATAATAATAATAATAGCTTAATTATTGACAGTCTTCTTTTTCTTCTTTTTCTCTTTCCACCACTCACCGCCCACTCCTTTAATTAGTTCAGTATAATGGGTACACAGTGACTTGAAGTCCTCCAGTGTCAGTTGCTGTGCTCTCAGTGTTTGGTCCACTCCACTCCTCAGGAACAGCTCAGTTGATAAATGAGAATATTCATCAGGAAATAATAACCTAACGCAACATAAGAACACTTGTATGTGTATTAGAAAATGTAATGAAAATTGAGAATTCTCCCCTAATTTTGATGAAACTCGACCAAAGTCCCTGTACTATAGTACAAGGACTTTTACTCGATTTTCGAGCAACTTTAAAAATTCATAAAAATCCAATTTTAATCGAAATTAGCTCAAACTTTCTATGTAACATAAGTACACATATCAGGAAATGTAATAATATTATTATTATTACTTTG